AAAATTCCCAATTTCTCATTTGAGGATTTGGAAACCATCTATCATCCCACTAAGAACTTGCTTTGATCTAATGAGTTTTTTGACATTTGTCCAAGTGGCACATCCATCTCAACATCCATGTCAGCAAAAACAAGCCACACCAAACATGGAGGAAGGGCTGAGGAGCGGAATGTTTGTTAGGGTGTGCTTGTGAGGTAGATTGATGAATCAGCAGTAAAGATGATATGAAAGCTAACTAGGATGCCACCCACAAAAATGATGAGGGTCTTTTTGGCTGGCACTCATTTCATGTGAGAGAGGCTACGTGCCAAGGGCGGTCTTATTCTATCCAACAATGATGGTCAGTGACTAAATCTCAAGCAAAATCTGAAAATGTAAATATATTAGCCAAGTCAAAAGGGCTGAGAAACGATGATGGGTTTACAAGGCTGGGAGTGATTACACAATTACCAAAAAGAATGAAAAGAAGGTGAACATAGTAGGAGCAGTAAGGACAAAAAATATGTAAGGATTAGAGATTACAACTTGAGAAGCATATTTATACATAATATATTGTAACATAGTAATAAAAATATTGAATGTGCCCTTTATTGTCCTTAACAAGTACTCCTACTTTATAATGAGCAACCCTCATGTTGAAGTTGAAGAACACGATGACTTCCTTCAAGATTTCTTAAGAACAAAAGGAATAAACTTAAAGGTAGTGATGGGAGAAAGAAGGATGACTGTTGTGGGGGCTTGTGACTGGAGGGCTTGATCTCGTTTTTTGTGCTAACTCTTCAGCTTAATCTTTTGATTCTCAAGAAAATAACCCAAAAACTGAAATTGCAGTGTACTGTCTCCCAACCATGATGTTCTGCAAATCTGAAAAATATTCTACAATGCTAGAAGTGCAGAAAATGTAATAAAAATAATGATTTCTAGGTATTTTTGGTGTGTATTAGGAGAGGTTAAAGATGAAGGATTTTTCATAGGAAACATGGAGGTCTAGTGCGTGAGAGAGGAAGTCGGAGCTGTGAAATCCATTTCGATTCGTTGAAAAATGAAGGAAAAATTAATATATATATATATATGCAGTGGCACTTTCGTAATTTTTGGGTGATAGGCCAAAATAGCCCAGTTGCCCAATGGGTAGATTTGGGTAAGCTGTCAAGTTTTGAGTGGTTCTGAGCATTGCTGATAGCTTTTTGGCAATGATATTATGAATTCCCTAGTAATTCTAGCGAATCATTGCTGGTTTTAGCAAAGGGCTGGAGACTGCCCATTTTTGGTATATCTTCTAGCCATACAAAATTCCATTTTGGGAGGATACTTGAGTGTAGCTAGTAAAAATAAGATCTTCTTAGGATTTTGGTAGATTTCCCAAGCAAAATGTAATCTTTTTCAATGGTTTTCGATGTAGTCGAACTTGTGCAACCACCCTCTTTAACAGTTTGCAACACAATGTAACTTGTGCAGTCACTTTTGCATTAAATACAACTACAACTTGTTGATGGGGACTCAAACAGCATCTCTGGTAGTTTTTAACAAGATTTCAAACTTCTAGTTAGTATTAAACGATACAATTTTGGGGATCAGGTCTACCTCCACGTCTTTACCACCCAACCCTCTCTAGCGAAGTCTAGGCAACATCACCAACTCCAAGCTTGGCTGGCATGAATATCTCACTTCGCCAAACAGGCAATGTTCATCCATCCATGCTTGCCAAGCCCTACTCCCATAGTTTATCTCAAATAATTCCCATGAGCTTGTGTTTATCTACAATAAGAGCAAGATATAAATGAGTATTTGTTCAAATATTTAAGTGAAAAATGTGTGAATATATGTAGCGAAGAAGGGTACTTCCTTGTATTTCAAAAGGGATGATGAAAACAAGCATTACCATGCCCTTTTGTCCTCTATCCATGGCAAGCACTCGTATAATGCTACTATGTATGGCTGATATTGCACCAAAACAGGGAATGAGTGACATGAATGTGTGTTGCGATATCGTTGTCCCAAGTCAAGCGTTGCTAATTGGTGATACCTATTAACACATAAAATATAGAAGAAATATATTGTAAATTAGGATTAGCGATCAGTAATTTTGTCCCTTTGTATGAAGAAATAATGATGTGCATGGCCGCCGACCATGTTGTATAAGTATCGTAAGATTAGCCATGAATAACTTCCCTATAACTAGAGGGCAACAATGCCCTCTAGCTAGTTTTGCCTATGGCTGGAGTGTGAACTATGTGGAATCAAAAAAGCACTCGCACTAATCCACCAAGTCGCGAAGGGGTAAATCTCATCAATCAAGACTCTGCCATAGCGATGAATATGTGATAAAGATAAGTGGAACTGTCTCCATAGAAGGGGGATGCCAGTTGCATCCATGGCCTTCGATACAGCATGGTATAATATCATTGACAAACACTAGTTGCCATACCCACATCATTAGAGGGTGGTCCTGATTGTTGTTGCCCTTCGAGCACTGCACCACCATACATGGGTCACCACCAAGGGACCACCAATCGTTACTTGATGGATTTTTTTCGTTGGAGGGTAGCCATCTCGTCCAATTGTAGGGTTACAACTGTTATCGGCATCACACTAATCACACAGAGTTGCATTGACTCTTTGTTCGTTTCAAGGAGCTAATGAGATAAAATATGTAGATATTTGATCCTTTGTCCGTTGCTGGGAGTCGGTGTAATGAAGATGTGTAGGAATGTGTAGCCTTTTGCCCATTGCTGAAGGCTACATGAGATAACAAGTCTGGCCCTTTGTCCATCGTTGGGAGCTGTGTAGATATAGCTCATTGTCCATTAATGGGAGCCATGAGTGTGTAGTAGTGAATATCGTTGTAGAGAACATGACCGTCGAAAATGCCCAACCATGTTATAGAGATAAATATAATTGTGTCTGGCCATATGCATGAAAATATATGTTGGAGTGGGTTATATCTGTAATTTTTCCAACAAAATAGATGAAATCCTACATTTGGCAATACTGACTCTGTTGCAGTGATCAGTAGGAAATAGAAATAGCACGTTTAATGTGTAAAATAGATAATATAGGTCCTTGCTGATGTGGCACTGCACATGTTATCAATTTTAGGGTGATACAAATTATCTTTCAATAACATTAAGACTTAATGGATTGATGATATCAGCCTTAACAAAGAGGTTGATTTGCCACTACAAACGAGTTGAAGGGTTAGTTTGCGCGTGAATTGAGTTCAAGAGGTGATTTGCCACCAATTGACAAGTTGAAGGGTGCATGTTTTGCCACCTGCTTTTTTATTGGGCCATGCCACGTTACTTTTAAAGTAATAAAAGTGCGATTAGCTGGATCCATAGTACAAACTATGTTGGAGTATTATTCTTAATATATATAAAGAAAAGAATCTATTTAAATATTAATTTTATAAATTAAATTTATTAGTCTAAATTTTTTAAAAAATAAAATTTATATTTATATTTAAAAATTAAAATTTTAATTAAAAATTAAAAATTTTAATATA